GTTTTTGCTATTTAAAATCACGTGTGCATAGAACCCCTGAAGAGCATCGTGACTGGCAAACATAACTTAGTTCATTGTCAGAACCCCAAATCACCTTTATTAGCTTAAACCAGAACATGATTCCATGATTAGGAATAATGCTGTCTGGGAGGAGAACTGTTAGCTGCCAGGTGCAGGAGGATGGAAAGAAGCAACACTGGTTTTAAGGATGAATTGCAGAGCTTTATCTCTAAATGCCAGAAGTCTTGGATGACTGCTCCCCAAGGCTGGCTGATGTCTGAGGTATTTTCTGTGCTGGTTCTCTCAACCCCGGGGGGGCTGTCCCCAGAGGTGCCCCCTGAGTGCTGCAGTGTGTGGCAGTGCTGTGGGAGGGGCACTGGAAGGATTGGCCTGAATTTCCTCTTCCTCACACTTATGTCAGTCAGGAGGGTGTCAGTGAAGTTAGTGATGATGAATACTATCATTCATGTCATAACCAAGGTCATTATTGACAGAACTGAGTATTCTAGGCCACTGCAGAATATTGTACTGAGCAAAAGGTCAAGATTTGGGAGCTCCCTGAATCCAATCCTGGCTAATACAGACAGATTTTGTAAGCCTGTCACCACAGAGAAGTGTGCCCATCTGTAAAATGGAAATGACTGTTCTGTTTTGCAAGGAGATGGCAGTTGGTTATGCTGTTATCAAAATATATATAGTATGTGTTATAAATAAATACATGTTAAAATTCCACTTCTGATCTGTGTGAATGGAAGGAGTAAAAGTTATGTGTGCTTGCAACTCAGTCTAGGAGGGGATGCTGCAGGAAATGTGTTGGTGTCAGACAAGTTGCTGAGTCACAATAATTTCAGAGGATGGGTGTGCAGAAGTGCAGCTGCTCCAGGAGCTGGGACAGCTGAGGTGCTGCTTGTCTTCAGAGGTTCAGAGGAGACCAAAGGTCCTTTCCAGGAGTGCTTGCTCTGCTTGCTCTGCTCTTCCATGGTGTCAGCACACCAGGGACATGGAATGGTGGAGCCATCGATGTTAAAAGTTAGTTTTATAAGCAGTTGCTATGGTAATTAGCAAATCTTCGTAAATCATTTGAGAAGGTCCCCCTTGCCACTGGGCTGTGCTGGTGCTGCCCTGGGACACGGAGCCTTTCTGCTGTTGAGGTTCTCAAAGGCTGGAGTGTTCCATGGGAGTTGTTCTGGTGAGTTCAGCATTCACAGGTTCTTGCACACTTGGGTTTCCTGCTGTTTCCTGCTGCAGGTAACACTGAAAAATCCCTCCCTTTTTAGGTTGACTTCACTGGAGATTTCCCCTTCCAGCAGAAAGTCGAGTTCCTGGTTCCACACCATGTGTTTGCCCCTCCCTGCCCTGGCATGGACATGGTATCTGTGGGATAACTGAGGGATTTGAGAGGTCCATGCTGTGCTTGGGACTCCCCTTCATGTTAATGAGCGCTCAAAAAATATCAAAAGAAATCATAATGGTGGGACTTTTGCATTCAAGGAAAGGACATGTCTTATCAAACCCTCTCTTCATTAGCAGTGCCTCAGAACTGGAGAAGAAACAGCTGTTTTTTCTGAGGAAGGCATCTTTTCAACTGGCTGCCAGTGTTGATGGTTTCTTAAAGATTTCCCCTCTGCTATTCTTAGAGTTGTTGCATATTCTTGCCCCTTTGTGCTTGCAGGGCAGCACAGCACTGCTGTCTGAGCACTCTGCCAGCCCCTGATTGCTGTGACACACGTAACCAACCAATGGTGTTCTGTGCTTTCCAGGGGGCACTAAAAAGGTGATGACATGAGGCAGTGAATGAGGCTCTGTGCCCAGCCCTGCTTCCATCAGCCAGGGCTGGGGCACCTGGGCTGGCTCACCTGGGCTGGCTCACCTGGGCTGGCTCACCTGGGCTGCTTTAGCCTGGGCTGCTTTAGCCTGGGCTGGCTCACCTAGGATGGCTCAGGCAGGACTGTCTCAGCCTGGGCTGTCCCCCCAGGGCTGTCCTTGGCTGTGTCACCCCCCAGGGTTCCAAGCACAGGCCAGCCCAGTGCTGAGCCCGTCCCTCAGCCTGGAGAAACCCCGTTTGCAGAGGCTTTGATTGGATTCCCAGGACTTGTGGCACTTCTGTTGTTATCCATGTGTACAGTTGTGAGGAAACTGGGAACGGGGGTGAAGCTAAAAAACAGTGCATTCAGATTGCCCTTTTATTTTTGTTTACTCTTTCCCCCCAATGTGATTTATGCTCATTGGACTCTTTGAACCTCAGGCCCGTGAGTGGAGCCCAGTTTGGGGCTGGTTTGGTGCTGCTGGCGGGGGCTGTGCGGGCGTCCCGTGCTCAGGGCTCTGGGCAACTTCACTGCAGAGCTTCCCTTCCTTTGCTTAACCTCTGACCTGTGAAAACAAGAGTTAATCAAAACTTCTGAGGTAGCTAAGAGGAAGGGGAAGTGTTTGGTTACAAATTAAATATGAGCAAGTCATAAGCCATAAATCTTCAGTAGTGCTACCAGTTGTGCTACTTAAGTTCATGTGGCACAGAAAGTTTTGGGTTATAAACTCCTCTGTTTCTTTGGAGGGGTGTTTAAAGGCTGCCTTGAGGATTTGCTTTTTGTAAGAAAAATTCACATCTTTTTTTTTTTTCCTTTTGCAGAGATCTAGAAACAACTCGAGATAACTATATTGTTTGGGTTTTTTTTTTTTTAGTTTTTTTTAAACTTTAACTGGTCACAGTTTGGTCTAATAAAAGCAGAACTGTTTCACTATTGAGTAGTCAACACATGGAATAAGTGATGAAGTAAAAGTATTGAAGGTGGCAGGATAAATTAGCTTTCTAATGTATCCAAAACTTTTGGGCTGAGGGAGATCCTGAATCGTGCTGTGGCAATGGGGGAGGTGAAAACTGAAGTGAGATTGTCTACAGAATTCCCACAATTCTGTGGTGGGTTTGTTTTATCTTGTCTTACCCCTCTCTTGAGCAAAGCCTCACAGATCCCTGTGTGTTGTGGGGTGCTGAGTTCTGCTTCAAATACCAGCTCATTTCCTCAGCTCCCAGACTGTGACACTTCTCTCCTCAAAACAAGACGTTATTCTCAAAATAGAAAAAGAAGCAGTTATTGCTGAGCTGCTAAACCATCACCTGGAAAACAAGGAAGAGTTAAAGTTACAAAAAGGACAACCTGAGGTTCATCAGAGGATACTGGTGAGGAGACAAGGGAAGGCCAAGGAGTGTGGCAGCAGTGCACCCAGGCCCTGGCAGGGCAGAGCAGTGTGAGCAGCAGCCCAGCCCCTGACCCTGGCCCGGGGGCTCAGCGTTGTCCTGCTGGGTCCCTGTGCTGCCAGGACCTGCTCCATGGTCACCCTCAGAGCCTGGGGAACCTGCTTTGCCTCTTTGCTTTGATGCACATACATCATAAACACAGGAGCAGCTTTAAAGGTGCTCGTTTCAGCTCTGTCAGTGCAGCTCTGCAGCTTCCCCACTCGCAGGCACTGCTGGCAGCAACTTGTAAATGTAGTTTTCCAGAAGGTCCCCGAGCGATTAAGAAGAACTTTAATTGTGCCTCCCTGGAAGCAGCTGTGGTTTCCCACTGCCAGGGAGCTTTCTGCCTCCTTGGTTTCCTGTCTTCTCAAACTCTTTTGATAGATGCCTTGCACGGATTTGTTTACCAGGTTCTTAATCTCTACTTAGCAGATATGTTTGGAGAGGATTTCTTGTTACCCTTGTAATGGCTTTTAACTCTGCTGAAGTTTATTTAACTAAACAGAAAGAAAGAAACTTATCTTCTACCTAATCCTTCTGGATTGTTTACAATATAATGCCAAACTTAAATGCTGTTTAAAGTGGTAATTGTCTGTCTTTCTGCTCTATTCCAATACACACTTTGTAAAGATGTTTGGAGCGTATTAATTTAAACGATAATACTGTCATATAACATGAAAAGTTAAGTTGCTTATCAGTATATTTTGATAAGCTACTTACATTTTACAGTAGCATTTGCAGGCTTCAAACAAAGGCTAATGATGGAGTGCCAGTCCCTGTGTCTGTCTCATACACAGCTTCTCACCTCATTTATCACCCAGAGCTGCCCAGGCAGAGCACGGGGCACTCCATTCCTTACAGCTGTCAGGATGGAGTCATATTTTATAAAAACTTTAGATCCTGTCTCACTATATCACAGTAGAACCCATTTGCTTCAGAAAGCAGCTGTGGTTAAAGCAGCATCAGGCAGTGCCTCACACTGGCTTTGCATTTGCTGCAGCCCAGGGAAATCCCTCACAGGTCTGGGAAAAGGGGTTGGAATAAAGAACTGTGCCATGAAAACAGGGCACAGAACCCTCCCAAAGCTGTAGTGGAAAGGAACATCTTCTCTGTCTTACTTTGTGCAGTGGAGATGTAATTCAAATGAAAAGGGTGTGATTTTTCTGCATGTTTCTCTTTGAATCTTGTTTCTTCTTTTCTTTTGGAAGCTGTGTGCAAATGTGAAGGTGAAGTTTCTGTTTGACCAAAGTAAGGGCCAGGCTAAACACAGTGATGGGATTAGATCTGACAACAATTAAAACCTGAGATACTGGTTATACAGTTTAAAAAATCCACTTGTGTGAGGACTCAAACCCAAAATAACTGCCTGTCTTGGCTTTCCAAGGACCCTCAGCAGCTGTACAGGAGAAGAGTTATTTGACATTCAATATGTTCCAGCACACATGGACATCAGTGCACAGAGATCTTTGGGGTTAAACCTGTGTGGGACTGTGTGTTGGTGAGGGTGGGCAGCCCTGGTGCTGTGGGGCTGGGTGGTGCCCAGCAGTGGGGAAGGGTGAACTCCAAAGCTCAGCCCTCCAAAGAGAGGGATCCCTCAGCCTCCTGGCAGAGCTCTCCTCCCAGTGCAAGTCTGCTGTGGCTTTCCTGACAGATAATTATGCAGCATCACGTTGGGATGCATCTGTAGCATAAGGGCTGGTGATCCTGGATTTATTGACTGAGATTTAGCAAATTAAATGTATGCTTTTTCTTTTTTTCTTTTTTCCAGTTACCTCCCGTGGTTTGAAGTCTTTTATAAGCTGCTCAATGTCTTGGCAGATTATTCAGCAAAAGGACAGGTATTCTTCTGAAATACTGACCCTCCTTTTCCCTGCCCAATATCAGATGGGGGCGAGAGGATGAAACGAGCTGGTTGAAGAGGTGCTTCTATGAGAGCTGACCATGTGAATTATTAATCCCTATGATGCAGTGACATAGGTCATCAGCTTGGGAAGTGCCTCTGAAAAATAAATATGCATTTAAATTATTTTGGGGAAAAGATGAAGCCCAAGGGTGTGGCTGTGGCTCCACCACAATCCCTGGGTTCCTGCAGTGGCCCGTGCTGGGCTGACCCCTGCCCTGTGCTCAGCAGTCCTGCAATTCCATGTTCTGACAGGGGCTGATCCAAGGTTATTGTCGGGTGCAGGAGGTGTAGAACTAACCCTACTAATGCCAGGTTTACCCACCTGGCATCATCTGGCCCTTCTGCCCTGGAGTTAACCCAGTTGCACCAATGCCTACTTAGCATTCCTTTTTTTTCCCTCCTTATTTCAGGATAGTCAAAGGAGTGAGCTCCTAGAAACATTTCATAAACTCACCATCCCTGAGCCAGGAACCTCTGTTCATCTCGGAGTGGTAAGTGAAGGGGGGAGATGGAAACTAAGGTGCTTAATATTCATTCCATGTCATAACAGAGGAATGTCAACAGCAATTCTCTGTCCTGGAGCTTGTACACAGATGTTGTTTCCCTGTGAGGACACAGAGCTGTGAAATTCCCCTTTTCACATTCGGACCCTCTGTTTGCCTCTCCCTAACCTCAGATGTCTCTGAAATGCTGTTCTCTGGTTGGAGGGAGGTTGTGTGTGTTCCCCATGGAGATCTCTGCCATCCCCTGTGACCTGGGGGAGGTCACAGAGCAGCACCAGGGCATTTATTGCCCACACTCCTGCACAGCTCCTGGGTCCTGCAAGGGGACAGGGCTGGGGGGGAACAGTCACATGCCTGTCACAGCAGCCTTTGCAGTATTCATTGTTTATCACATCTACTGGTTCCTTCTCCTCTTCCCCCCTCCCTCAAAAAAACTCATATGAAAAAGAATTTATTTCATTTTTATATCTTGTGAGAAAATTAAGCAAAGCACACCAACAGAACAGATTTGGGATTTTGTTGATGGGATTGCACTTTGCATTTAGTCTTTTGGGTTTTTTGTCCTCAGACTCCCTTTTGCAGCACACCCCTGTGTCCCTGGCACGGTGACATCCTGCAGAGCCTGTTGCTGCCCCTGCCTGTGGGGAGTTCACAGGGACACTCCCCCCCTCCCATCTCCTCTGCTCCTGCTCCCACAGGACTGCCTGGCAGCAGGAGCTGCCCCTGCTCCCCTCTCCTGGACAGGAGCAGTGGTGTGGCCCTGCTGGTCCCCAGCTGGCCCTGGGCTGGCCCTGTGCCCTCAGGGCTCCCTCTGTGTGAGCAGCATTTCTGTTCAGAGGATGAGTGACAAGGAGCCATCTCCCAAGGCTGGGATCAGTTGGGATATTCCGGTTTTTTCATACCAGTGGTTCCAAGGAATGCTGCTGGTCTCCCCTTGTCTCAGACATTTCATGGGCGGTGAAGCAAGAAAGGATATAAAAAGGCAGCCCAGGGACTGTGAGCTGTGGTGTGTTCCTGCATTTTATTTTGGCTGTTTCTGAGCCTGTTTCGGGGTCAGGGTGAGGTTCCTCCATGTGACACAGCTCTGTGTGCTGTTCCTGCATTGCATCTTTGCAACCAGACCAAACCAGTGACACATCAGAAGCAGAAATGGTGTTTATAGTGTCTGTGTTCAGTGTGGCTGTTGGACTCACTTGCTGTTACAGGTTATGGACTGATCGTGAGGCACTGAATTGCAATAATCAATATTTGCTCTTTTTGTAGCACTCTTACTTTACTGTGCCTGACACCAGAGAGCTTCCCAGTATACCTGAAAATGTGAGTATTTGAGAGGACCCTGCACTTTACTGCTTCTATTTAATGTCACATAGATAACACGTGTTAGTTTGGTAGTCATGGATTATATCCTGTGGAATACTGAGCTTTAGGAGCTGGCAATCTCCATGTGTGATTAAAAGCTGAATTGCATGAAGGACAAAGTACTAATGGCCATGTTGAAATGGGCAGAAACAGCAGATCTGCTAATCCTGCACTGGGACCCCTCGGGAAGGATGACCAGGGAAAACAACCTGTTTGGCTTCTGAAAATGTCACACATGTCTGATCCCCTCAGAGCCACTTCTCTGGAGGCTGTTGGAGCCTCATGAAGTCTGAGGTGTTCCAGAAGGGCTGGGGGAACACAGTGCTGGCATTTGCCTCTCCTCAGTGCTCTTTAATGTACTCCCTCTGTGTCCCAGCCAAATTCCTGTGCCTGACATCCCAATTTTCTTCCTGGAGCATTGTGTGGTCGGTCTGAGCATCAAATACCTCAGCTGAGGCATGAAAGAAAGGGAAGGCATCATCAAGACATTTCATCTCATTTGGGGATGATTTGTATAGCAGATAGCATTTGGGGCTGTTTGTTTCTCTTTCAAAACACTGCTGATGGCTTCTCTGTGTTGCAGACTCTTCTACTGACACGGATCCTGTCAGTGAATTTAATAGATGAGCTCTTTCTTCTGAAGTGCTTTATTTTTGTACAAATACAAATACACTGGTGTAATTCAAGAATCAGTTCCTGAATCTAAACCAGCTGTCAAATCCTGCCCCAATTCACAGAGTCACTGATGGGCCTTGGAGGTGCCTGGTGCTATCAGGTGTCCTCCTGTCCCTACCAAGGTGGGCTGGGCAGGGTCTGGGGACAGCCAAGGCCCCTCTGGGAACAGGAGAGGGACATTTCATTGAGCCAACACGTGTGTCTGTGTCCTGCCCAGATCAGAAGGGCTGGGGCTCATTGTAAGAAAGCAAAATCCTACAAATCAAGTGCACTGGTCTAACTGAAGCTGCAGTTGACTCTCTGCTATTTCTCAGGCATTTCTCATGCTTATATTTACCTGATGAATATTGTATAATTTCTTAGGAGGTTTTTATCTGGGTGTTAATGCTACTTTCATGTGGAATTAAAACCTGATAATACAAGGACATTAAAGGAGCTTAAGTCTTTATGAATTTTAATCAATGGACTTGATTTATTCAAAATTCAACATCTCTTATCAGTGATTATGTTTTGAACACCATATTTAGCAGAAGTTTTAGTAGTGCCAAACTTTGAAGTTGGATGCGATGATGAATGGAGAGCTGCACAGAGCTCTGTTTGGAATGTTAACAAGGCTCTTGGAATTATCTGACTTGGTGTCAGATCCCTGTGTTTAATGGGTTTCATGTGAGGGACATGTAAATGCATTGTGGCTTCAGAAATGGATCGGGGTCGCTGCAGGAAATGCAGTGCAAGACTGAGTTTCCTGGGAACAGCTGTTGTGTTTCAGAAGTATCAGGTAAATTAACAGGCTGAAATGGTGACATTTTCTTGGTGATCATACTCTGGGGTATTTTTGTATCACTGAGTCCCTTTTCCTCAGTAGATGATGGTGGAAGAGAAGTCTGTGATTTTTAATCTCAAAACTCAGTGTGCATTTATTGATATTAGATAGCAAATGATCAAATGGATGATTGATCTAGGAACAAACTTCCAAAGGAGCATGAGGGAGTTTTGTGGCACTTCTGGTGAATTTTGAGGAGTGGGGATACCCGTTCCTGTATCAGGTCTGAAAACCCCACTTTTTCCTGCCCCAAGGAAGGTTTAAGTCCTAGGAAACAAAATACCCAACCATTATCCTGCAAATTGGAACGCTTTCATTTGTATTTATTTAACTCATTCATGGTTTTGTCACTTACGAGACATGTCTTTCAAAATACATGTGTAAGGCCCAATTTGAGCTTCAGAGCTGACAGCTTTCTCATAAATACGGCTCCCGGGAACACGTGAGCTCCTCAGTACCAATACATTTCCATGCAGCCCACATGCTTCCCAGGTGTCCTTGGCAAATCTCGGAGAGCAGACAGGACTCAAACCTCACAAATCTTCCCATCTGAAGGTACATTTGTGTGTCATTCCACCGCAGTGCCCTCGGTGGAGGAACAATCGCGAGTCCAGCCCCACGTCTGTTTTCCTCTCGCAGTGGGTGCTGGTGCCTCACACACACATCCCTGTGGAGCACAGATCCTCCCAGGCAGGATGCAGGGGCTGTGTGCTCCTTCTGCCGTGCCCCTGATTTGGGTGGCAGCAGAAGTTCAGGGCTCCTTAAAAACGGTTTTAATTCCCCCAGTGTGCAGGAGCTGTGTCGTCACGCGCCGTGTTTTGGCGTCGGGGAAGGCTGGGTGAGAGGGGGAAGAGGAGCCGTAGAGAAGACAGCTTATGTTTAGACAAAAATATCATGTTAATCAGCACAGATGGGATGAGAAATACAGAAAAAGTACATGATAGTTTAATAGGTTTTTGGCAAAACGTGTTGGCTTTTTTTTTTCTCCTTTGACTGTACCTGTCTGTGGCTCCAGCTTTGCTGTAACAAAGACCTGGGTGGTTGTTTTATTGTACATATTTGAAGCCAACCATAATGAACCCAGTTTTTATCTCCCTACATCCTGGTCCCAAAGTCTCCCAAATACAATACTTAATTTTCCTTCAGTTCTTTGTGTTTGGATGGCAAGCTGGGGAACATATTTTTGCACAGTATGAAGCATCTTGGCAGACTTCTCAGGCCAAGTATCTTGGATCTGTCAAAAGTGCTAATAGGCTTTGTTGAGCTTCTTTAAGTTTCTAAATCATATTTGCTTTTTGCTTTTCTGCACTTTTTTATTTAAGGATGATTAAGATTGCACTTGAATTCATGACTAATCTAATTTTGCTCTCACATGTGCTTTTTGTATAAGGCTGTCTTTATCATATAACAACCCTTTCGTGTCTGTAAGAAGCTATTTGGAAACAAATTCCCTAATTCAGCATTTCTGGGTGTATTACCTTTTCCTCCACAATGCCCCTTTTCTTTAATTTCTGTGTTTTAAGAAGTGAAAATACCCTCTCCACACACAAATCCTTTTTTCTTTACCTTGCCCTGTGGAACCCCTCGTTCTAGGCGAGCAGAACACGCTGGGATCCAGTTGCCTCTGTGGTGGCTTTCTGGTTTTGATAGTGAAGATCTCAGGATCACATTGTGCTGTTTGTTAGGAGACATCTGCAGTGTTCAGTCCTGCCCCACAAGCTGTGCCCTGCAGCACGAGCACAGGGTGAGGGCATGGCCTGGGCATGGAGGGACAATGCAGGAGTGAAAGTGTGGCATGACAGAACAGTGAAATCCGTTTGCCTTTTGGTTTTTTGGGTTATTTTTGCTAAGGACACTTGGTTTTGTGATATGGTGAATCAAACCTTCTGTTCTCTCTTCCCAGAGGAACCTGACCGAGTACTTTGTGGCAGTGGATGTGAACAACATGCTGCACCTCTACGCCAGCATGCTGTACGAGCGCCGCATCCTCATCTGCTGCAGCAAGCTCAGCACTGTGAGTAAAATGCACAAGAGTTTCTTCTAGTCACAGTAGCTTTAATTTTTTTTTTTTTTTGCAGTCATGTATTGGAAATGATCTGATTATCTCCAGGTCCCCCTTTCAATCTCACTTATGCAGCCTCAGCTCAGTTCTGTGCCTGTGTGTGAGGATTTTACAGCGCTTCTCTTGGCCTCTGATGTCCAAATGAGAAAGGGTCTTTTGGATACAGGAATTTTTGGGGTTGTTTGGTACATGAATCTACAAAGGCTTATGCCATAGTGAAGTCCTTTTTTCATAATTTACTTGACAGGAAAAAAAAATGGATAAATGACACTGTCAAATGGATGTCACAGTGACCTTCTCCGGAGGGAGCAGGGGAGTGGGCTGGAGTACATTGACAATCCACAGTTTTGCAGTTGTGTTTGATAAGGTTTAGTCTTAGTGCTACTTAGGCTCCATCAAGTGTCTGAGAGATGAAAGCTGCTGAATATTCTCGAGGACTCTCTTCTGAAAATGGCTGGAGATCAAAACGAGCACAGGCCTGCTCAGTTCAAAGTTTGGTGTTCTGCATTTCAAGGTTTAGCAGTCAATAAGATTGTGATTTTCCTTATAAAAGCAAATGCTCCCTGGTCGTTGTGTTTGCTCTGTAAAAGGCTATTGATTGCTGTCCTTTGTGAGTGACGAAGATGGTTTAACTAATTTTGCTTTCTAGTGCTGTGGACTGAGCACTTGAGTGGCCCTGCCTAAGACAGAGCTGCCATTTCCATCTCGTGTGGCATTAACCAGGCTCTGACTGTATGGCCATGACCTGCTTTGTGTCTGAGATTAAAACTGCTCTCTGGAATTGTCAATGCTCGAGAAGGCTGAAGTGGTGTCCATAAACCCACGCAGGGTGGTCTGTCAGCACAGGGCAGGGAAGTGAGAGAGAGTAAGGCCTCATACCCAATCCCAGAATAACTACTGCAGTGTCATTTTGAAGGGTAAGCAAAAGGAGGAGAATTAGAATAACCTCTGGGACCTATTAATAGTTATTAATAATGTTTACAATCAACCTCACATTTAACTGAAAGCATTTAAGTATTATGAAGTTTAAAACTGTAGAAAACTTGCAAAATCTTAACTTCTATATCTGCCAAGTGTTCTGTGTCATCGCTGCTGAAATAAGGAAAAATCCATCCAGGTAATGGAATAAAATGAAGGAGAGGTGTTTATTTCAGCAACCTGCAGAATGAAAAGAACAGCAAATGATCAGAGAGGAGGGAAGAAGAGAAGGGCTGCCCAAAGCATTTCAGAGGTTGTGTGGTTGGTTGGTTTAATCTCTCCCTTTGTGACAGAGCCTGGGAAGAGGAATTACTTACCTGTCACTTTGCCTTCCTTAATGAGCCAGTTCACAAGTGGGGCTGGGTTTTTTTCCCTATCTTTCTGCTATTTCTCTTCCTTTTGCCTCTGTCCAAGATAAAAGCGTGTCTGGTTCTGGGGAGGGAGGGGTGTTCATACTGTGTGTTCTTAGCTTACAACTTTATATCTGCAGTGCTCCAAGCCTGGAGTGACAGTGTAAGACAGGTTTGAAGGCTGGGCCGGAGCCAGCGATTCCCTGCTCGGCGGGTTCCAGCAGTAGGAACAAGCTGCATTATTTTATTTCAAACTGTGCTCAGCGGAAGCCAAGACCTTGTAACTGGAAAGGAACCAAACCCAGAATCCTCCGAGTGCAGCAGGGTGGGTGGGGCTGGGGGGGCTGCCTCCTTTGTCTGGAGTTCTCCCTTCTCCAGCGAGGGAGTGGAAGGGACCTGTTTGCAGTGCATTTGTTTTAACTTTGGGAGACACACTTTGTGCTTAGGGCTTGAATTTGGTATCAGGTAAGAGAGGGAGAGTTAAACCATCCTGGGTGGAAAGGCTTTTATGGTGGGGTGCATTCTGAGCTACAACACGTCATCTCAAATTCAGGTTTTGATTTTCAACATCCTTACATGCTTAAGTTGAATGAGATTTAGAATGAGGCTGTGTTTATTAGCTGTTTTATAAATCACGTGTACTGAACCCATAGAAGAATTATTGGTGTTTTCTTGGATTTTATTCTCTTTTCCTACAAAAGGAAATGCAAATGATTTCTCCAAATGTTAAAACAATTATTGCTGTTACCTTTCCTTACATATTCTGTGATCTAACTCCTCAAGAAAGGCCAGATATGAACCAAAATGCATGAACCCCCAGTGCTTGGCAGCAGCCCCCCTGCTGGTGGGAGCATGCTGCTGCAAAATGAGGCTGGAGCTCTCCTTGCATCCCGAATTCCCTTTTCCATCAGAACTGCAGCCCTGCCACCCCCAGGGGTGTTCCCTGGCTGGAGGCAGCAGCAGGCTGTGTCCCACTGTAGGAAGGGAAGCTCTGGAAAGCCTTTGGCTTGGCCATTTCAGGGATGTTCCTGCCTGGCTCCATCACCCTGAGGGGGATTTCTTTGCCCCATTCCCTGTTATCTCTGCAGTGTCAGTGCAAAGCAAAGACTCCCTGGATGCTCTGTTGTTCCTGGGAGCTGAGCTTCCCCTGCCACTTCTCCCACATCACAGGAAGCTCTGATACATCCTCCTACTCCCTGGTGGGGGTCTGAGGAGCCTCAGGGCTCTGAGGGTAAGGAAATGGAACAACACTGTGATGGGTTTGATTCACCACATATCCCTGGGATGCCCCAGAGCTCAGAGCTTGCCCAGCTCTGGTGCCCCAGCTCTGTTCCTGTCCCTGTAGGTCTGGACCTTCACACACCCCCTTTGTGACAGCCCTGCTGTTACTGCTTGACTCTTGTGTAGCTCAGATTTCTGCTTTGTTTTTAGCCCCAAATAATGCCAAAGAAAAAGCTCTTCCAGCCATGCAGAAGGTGGGTCTTTGCTCAGTGTTTGTGTTTGGGAGGCACATCCTGCCCTGGGAGCCTGGGCAGTGTGTGTGTCCGGAGCAGGGACAGGCACCGGGAATGGCTGGGAGTGGTTCAGCATCAGTGGGTGACAAAATCCCATTGGTTCCATTTGCTCAAATAAGACTTTCAGAGTATTAAATGTCAAACTGCAAGGAGTGCCCAATGCCTTGGTCTCTCCCTTGCACAGAGATCCCCTTTCCCCTCCAGCAGCAGCTGCTCCGAGCCGGGGCAGTGGAACTAATGTGATTCCAGTGCTGCATTCCCAGAGCTGGGGCAGTTGGGTGTTTCTCAGGCTGCCTCACTGGGAAGGCCTGTTCTCTGGAAAGGCCCTGCTCCCTGGAAAGGCCCTGCTCCCTGGAAAGGCCCTGCTCCCTGGAAAGGCCCTCTTCCCTGGATGGCAGTCCCTGACCAGGGGAGGTGTCCAGCAGATCCTGAGCCCTCCCCAGGACAGTGGTTGGGTGTGACCTGAATTCCTGCCCTGTCCCAGGGTGGGAGGACATCTCCAGAGGGGGTGCCAGGCTCTGCTCAGAGCTCTGCAGTGCTGAGCATTGTGGCTGGTGAAGGATTCAGGAATATAGATGGAAAACTGCAGTGGGAAAGCATTCCCCCTTTTTCCTGCTGCACATTGTGGAATTAGTCAGTGCCTTTCATCTAATCTGTGAGAGAGGAGCATCTTCTCCAGTAGGAATAATGTAAAGATCAGTTGAAATATAATGGGGTAGGGATAAATCTTTAGTGTTTCATGAGTCATAAATCCAGAATAAACTCTAGATTTTGTAGCTTCTAAATGTAGTGTCCCCACATTCTAATATTTGCATCCCATATGGACCACTAAATAACCTTCACCTGCAAATAAAGAGCTTGTTTTGAGAGAGACTCAACAGGTACTTGCTGTGCCCTGTCTGCTCCCAAAGGCACAGTTTCCTTGGGATGGTGGTTCAAATCTAGTTTAAATTCTTGCATATTCTCACTTCTGGAAACTTGTTATCAGCACTGGGATGCTTTGGAGCTTTGTGGACTCTTTTGTTATGACACTTTCTTTTCAGAAATTTGTCTTTGGAGTGGAAAGTCAGGTGTGATAACATTCTCCCTTGAAGAAACTACAGCTCTTTGAGCTACATTTTTATGAAAAAACTTGAAACCTGTCACAGTGAGGACTAGAACTAGTGAATGCATAAACAGAGGCTACTGGGGAAGAGTAAATATGATCTTTGCAGAAGAAATCCATGCTCAAATCTTAAAACTCTTTGAAAATGTAGATGAAATTGAAGAATGTTGAATTCTTCCAAGTACTGAAGAAATTTTTGTGTCATAGGAGAGTTTGATCCTCTTGAAGGTAAAAAGCTGGCTGTGTTGTTCAGAGGCATAAGGGTAACACATAAAATACAGGGCTGTCTCCCACCCTCCTGCCCAGTGAGCTGCATTCAGTGGGGCAGCCAGGAGCTGGTGCTGGCAGAGGCTGCACAGAGGGGCTGTGGCAGAGAACAGACCCCAAACTGTCCCTGGCTGTGACACAGAGCCTGAAGGTCCTGGACTGGCTCATCCACCCTTTCCCTCCCCAGCCAGGGGTTCCCTTTGAGAGCTCTGTAATTCACTGCTCTCTCTTAATGGAAATTAATAGTAATGAGGGTCATCTCTTCTTTTTTAAGGGTTACTCCACATCTGACTGAATTTGGATTAATGCCACGACGTGTCTGTGCTTGGTTTCATCTGGGACACCTTCAGGCCAGCACGGGGGCCTCAGTCCCTTGGGCTCTGTGCCCTCAGTGCCTGTGAGCAGGTTCTCAGGGTGTCCTGGGCAGGAGTGCAGGTGAAGGGACACTGCACTGCCCAGCAGGGCAGGGTGGCTGGGACTGCTGTCACCTCTGGGCCCGTGGCTTGGATGTGGCTGTTCAGATCCTCTCCTTAGAGTATTTTTTCCACAGCTTTTGCTGAATTTCCTTACTGAGCATTACCACCTTCTCATTTTAATATCCTTGGTGAATGTGACAAATATCCTGCTTATCTTCTCTTCCAAATTAATAATTATCGTTTGAAATAGGGTTGAGAGCAGTAATTTCCTCTGTGAGGATTCTCCCCATGGCTTCACTGGCACTTGCCTTTGCTCTTTCAGTACTTGCCCACATCAAAACTCTTCTGTGTGTGTTTTTAACAATATAACTGAGAAATTCAATGGATCAAATGATTAGATGAAGAGCCATTAGACAAAAACCGCTTTTAAATAATCAAGATTTAATCACTGAGTTTGGTGTGATATGTGTTTTTCAGCTTGTGTTATAATTTCAGTGCATTTTTATGATATCTAATGGATGGTAATTTCCAGGATTGGGGATTTGCCTCTACTATTCCTTTAGTTTCCCTTGAGTTTTCATTTCCATGTTTCTGTTGCTTTACAGAACACTGGGTGTTCTTTGCAGGTTTTGTTTGCTGAGTGAATCATGTTCTCAACTGTTCCCAAAGTCAGTTGGATGGGAACCACCACAAACCCCTCGTGTTCACCCCCAAGCCCCTTGTTTTTAACAGCAGCTCTGCATTTTCCAATGAAACATGTTGCTATGAAAGCAGAATGGATTCTTTACTTTGTGTCTAACTTTGCTGTGTGAGCCTTGGGGCCTGGCCTGTTTCTGATGCAGTTTTGGTGTGTTTTTCAGTTAACTGCCTGCATCCATGGCTCTGCAGCCATGCTCTACCCGATGTTCTGGCAGCACGTTTACATTCCTGTTCTGCCCCCACATCTGCTGGACTACTGCTGGTAAGGCCACCTTTGTGTCTGTGTGTTATAGGTGTGTGTGTACCCCTGGGACTCACAGCAGTGCTCACCTTTCTGTGGGGTGTCCTGAGGGCTCTTATGATGCAACTGTTACTCTAAAAATACAGTGTATTAAGGAGGCACCAACCCAGTAAGTACAAATATTTATGGCAAGAAGTGACTGCCTGTCAGTGTGTTGAAACAGTCTGATAGGAGGAGTGGTTGCTGTGGAATGCTGCAACTCAGATATTGTGTCATTAAACTCTGTTTTCAGCATGTCCATGTTAAATATTCCAGTGTGAATTAAGACTCCAACAGGATACATTTTTCTCATTTTCCTGCTTTCCTGAACTTCTGTTGGGGGTGGGAAAAAAACTATTTTAAAAAAACTCTTAAAAAAACCCCTGTTTTCCTGTGGTGATCTTTCATTATGAGTGTGTGTTTAGAACATGATATTTACCTCATTGAGGGGAAGGAGTGACCTTACCTCAGGCTTCCTCAAGGAGTTAAACCTCCTTCAGAGGCTTTGGCTTGGGAGACTGGTTACCCATCCACCTGGGAAAGGGGCTGAGCCCAGAGCCCTGGGAGGGCAGAAAGCAAACCCTGGGCACTGGACCCCAGGAGGGGAAGCCACAAGTCCCTGGGCCCCACTGGCTGGGTTCTCTCATGGCCAGGGAAGGAGGGAGCAGGCCCTGGGAGCAGGCCCTGGGAGCAGGGGGGTTCCAGGCTGTGTGGCTGTGGGACAGGGTGTCGTTGCCTGCTCACAAATACAACAACTGATTGCCTTCCCCAGCAAGGAGCTTTAATTGGAGAGGTGGCTGCACACTCTGTCATTGTTTGAACAAGTCAATTTAGCAACAGTTTATGTGCCATAAATATATTTCTCAAAATAGAGTCCATCTATTCTGTAACCATGTGAACTTGCAGATGTCATTTTTGCCTGGGAGGGCTGAGCAATCAGCTCCCTGCTCTCTGCTTTAAGGCAATATTTCTGCTTACTGGTGTCTGTCTCTTGAGGGAAATGACCTGAGATACTTCAAAATAGAAGAGTTTAATTTAATTTTAATTGTTGCCTGGTTATTTCCTTTGCAAATATGACGTAAGAATTTTAGAGAGCCGAGGTGGGAACAAAATTTAAAGCAATGAGAATTCTTCAGTTCTTATGAATACAGAATATCATGTTGATCAGTTGGCTGTGCCCTTTTGCTGACTGTGCTGTGATGCTTTTGAATCTTCTTCTGCTCTTTTGAAACTTGCAGAAGGGTGGATAGACTGTGCCACTTGTGATCTCTGAAAGTTTTTGGAAAAAAGTGTATTCCACCTGTGATTATTTGCCTTTTGCTTCCCATTTCCCTCTTGAATGGATTTTCTTAAGCTTAATATTTCTGTTCCCCTGCACTGCTGCCTGACGTGCCCACCCTCAGAGCTGGAGATGCCAGAAGGTTGTGTCTCCAAAATGCTCCAAAATGCTCCAAAATGCTCCCAAATGCTCCCAAATCCCCCCACTCTGTGCTGGGGCTGCTGAGTCAGTGCTGGGGGTGCAGCACCACATCCATGGCTCTGGAGTGACTTCACTCCTCTGATCCCTGCCCTGCAGATTAGCTGAGGACAGGGGGTGGGAGGGGAAGCAAGAGGAGGAGTGCTGTCCTTAATTTGATTTTTTTGTTAGGGCACCATTCTTTGATATGTTTTCAGCCCGGGGAAAGATTCTGGGGGGAGGAGACTAGAAACTGGTGGTGGCACTGTCATTGGATGCACAGATTGCAGCCTGGGGGCTCTGGGTGGCACTGCCACTGCCTGGCACACCCAGGCACTCCCTGAAGGCTCTGGGAGCTGCTCTCCTGCTCTGTGCCTGTGTGTTCTCTGCATCATTCCATTTTATGCTGTCAAGTTTCTGACTTGTATCAGTCACCCCAATAAATTTGGGGTTGAATTCTGTCGCATTTCAGTGAGGGATCTCAGGAGAAATCAGGAGACTGCTCTGGAGAGGGAGGTACCACTGGTGGGAGAGAGCCACTCCTTAGGTCAGTGTTTGAATATCAAGACATGGACTTAGTGAATGTGATCTCACCCATTTTCCTGGAACAAGGAAGCAAAATGGTGCAGTCCCTGTGTAGCTGTAAATAGGAAGCTTTTGGTGATCCCTGGGCTTTTACGTTACTGTTTTTGGTGAATTGCAGTATTTTTTAAGGCTGGGCTTTTTCACTTAAGAAGAAATGTCCCTCTGTTTCACCTGCTTCTCTTCCAATTAGCAGTTTCCCACCTCTTGGGAGCATAATTAAGAGGTCTCTCGTTTGCCTAAGGAAACGAATTAAAGAAATTGTAAAAATGTAACTGTAATAAATGGGCACTCTACAGCCATTATGTCCCCAAAATCCACATTCATGCTTGGGCAGTGCGACTTTACTGATTGGATATTTACCTCTGCAGCTCCTGTGACTGTAAATAAGGCTGATTGCCTTGGGAAGCAGCTCGGAGCAGGAACGACCCCTCTCTTTGTTCCAGGGGCTCTCGCAGGCACTTTGTTTGAGCAGCAGAGACGGGGCAGGAATTGATACTTCTGCCTTTGGCACTTAATGGCTGTGGGCTGCCAGCAAACAACCCGCAGTCATTAGGAGCTGTGGCTGTAGGAAGGCCCAGGACTGATGAAGTGTCGGGCAGTGGAAGGCCTGGCCGAAGGGCAGCCTTTAATCTGCCGGGGCTCCCCGAAGGATTAAAGCTCGTGCCGGGTGTTTCTCCCTTTGTACAAGGGATGTGTCTCGCTGAACTTCCCTTGAAAGTCTTGGAAGTACCATCTGACCTGATAAAATATTAAAAGCTGTGTGAGTGTTCCGTGTCTCAGGATGTGAATCTCAGTGAGGGAGAACTATCTGTGTGTGCCCTGAGTGGGGAAGGGGGACACACACCACGTTCCCCTGCACAGGATGGTGACAGGGTATTTAAATAATGGCACATGATTAACTCATGGCAAAGAGAAATGGTGATAAAAGCAACTTATGAAGCCTGACATGAACCTTCAATATTTACTTCCAGGTGTGTTTCCTTTTCAGTCAGATCGATGAGGGATGACAGAAGAATAGAATCTCCCTGGTAGATTTTATTGGAAATATTTATGCTCTTTACCAGATTATATTTTATTGAGGTTATTTTTGCAGTCCCTGTAATTGTTTTATGTGCTGTGCTGCCTTTACATGTAATGTCTGTCACTCCACAATTTGCATCCAAAGCTGATCCATGTATCTGGAGCCAGATATTGTCTGTAATTCATTAAAATCCTACTGGAGGTGCCTGGTTTTAAGGTTTAGACATTCTTATTGTTCTTTTGTTGATAAACTGGAGGATTCAGAGATGGGTGTGATGCAGTTAGAGCCCTTGCCCGGGCTCAGATGTTGCTGTGCTGGGTGACAGACTCTGCACCAGAGACGTCCCTGCCCGGCCGGGTTGCTGGAGTCCTGCTCTCCTCCTGCTTCCTTCCATTCCAGCTGCCAGGCCTCCCCTAGCTGAGACATTTGCAGGCTTTAGACTTCCTGCCGAGGTTCCGACTGCGCTCAGGGATGGGAGCTGCCGAGCTCCTGGAGGTTCCTAATTGGAACCACATTGGAGTGGGTGCGGGGGAGCCGCGGCAGCAGAGCCCACGGGACGCGCTGCAGCCAAACCCGCCCTTGTTCCCCGGGCACAAAATTCCTGGGAATGTTCTCGCTCCTGGACTGTGGCCACTGGGAATGAAGAGATGGTGTTTGCCACAGACCAAACGTGCAGAGTGACCAGCAGAGCTCTGCTGAGCTGAGCGCTCCGCGGGTCCCGGGCAGTGTCCTGGGGTGTGGGGGGAATTCCTGTCCAAGGGCTTGGGGGTGTGCTGTGCTTCTCACCCGTGGAATTCCCTAGGAATCAGAAAATTGGGGGTCAGTCTCTGCTGTACCAGCCCCTCTGGGCTCTGTCACAAGGGGCTGCAGGGCAGGGGGTTCTCGTGCAGTTCCTGCAGGGATGTGTTCCAGTGTTCCCCAGGGAACTGGGAAGGGGCTCTGGAAGTTACGTGGGTTTGATGTCTTCAAACAGGAAAAAAAAGTGGTCTCATACAGAATGTCTAATGCAGAGGCTGCTTCCACCTCAGTGGAGCATCCAACAGAATGGCTGTTTGAGGGGGTGTGTAAATAAACAACATAAATATTAATATGCTTATCAGTAAATATATATTTTTAAGGTATTTTCCAGGAAAAGGAGGAGCAGGAATTTTGCTGCTCTGGTGTCTCAGGGGTTTTTTCAGCACTGCACTGCTCTTACTGAGCAGTAGGCACCAGCTCAGAGCAGCAATATGGGAGATATTTTAATCCAAGGCAGTACAGTGACATTTCTCTCATTTTTTCATCTGAAATTGAAAATGAGCTCGTTGAGCTGCTGCATCCAAAGCGAAGGGAGGCTCTATTTTAGAAGTTGTGTCTGTCTGTGTTGCTCTGTTTCGCAGGCAGGATGTGCCATATTTGCAATTAGCAGCTCTGGCACCTCCCTGATGGCTCTGATGGCTCGGTGTTGGAAGCTGGACCCAGAGCCCCAGTCCCTGGGCAGCAAAAGCATCACCCTGTGCTGGGGGATGAACTGTGGCCTGAGAGCCTCTGGGGGTATCCAGGTTTTGTGTTCTGAGGGGGATGTTGCTATCAGTGTGTGTCCTGGGAACTCTGGAGTTTAGAAGAATCTTCAGAAGCAATTTTTGTGTTTTCTTTTATAAATGTAAATGTGTCGAGATTTATACTTAAAAGTGAATTGCTTAAAAATGTGCCTGGACTCATTCAAAGAATTCAAAACTTGTAGTACCAGGTGATGCATATACACTAAATTAGCCACTTGACACTGCAACAGCATTTTTGAAAGAATGCTCTTAGAAAACTCTGGGTATGTTTTTAAAATTGCAATAATACATTTTGTTTGTTTTATCTAACAAAAGACTCCACTATTAGAGATATGTCTAGATGCTATCCTTAGGTACCTGCCTGAACTTAGGCACTTGAAAATTCTTCTGTCAAGAAAAATTAAAGTCTTACAGGCCTGAGAGGATATTGCATTGTAAAAACAGTCTTTCAAATCGGGAATAACATTTTGTTCACCCATGGTTTGTTTATATATCTATGTATATATTAATTTTTAAGCAAAATCTAGTCCAGTGTCACAGTGTTTTCCTGTAGCTAGTTTTGTAAGTCTGATGTGTGATTCTAGTGTTGTGGGAATGTAAAGCTGGTTTTTTTTCTTCTCTGCAGTGCCCCCATGCCCTACCTCATTGGGATACACTTGAGTCTGATGGAGGTAAGTCTCTCTCACCATTTCTGAAACTGTGTGTAGTGTAATGATTTAGAGCCAAATTCCCCGAGCAATGATACATTCATTCATATGCTTAAAAATGAACTGATGCTGTTAGTCTGGGCGTGCTGAGGGAGCTGAGTGAAGCCCACGTGGGGATGGTGAACCTGCAGGAGCCCTGTTTGCTCCCTGGGCAGCCTCTGTGTGCAGTGAGGAGCTCACCAGTGTCCCCTCCCCATCCTGGGGCTCCACTTAGTCCCTTCAGTGCCTTGCTTTGACTGAATCATGAAGGCAGAGTCGATATTAAACCACAATGTTGACAGTTACAGTTCTCTTTTAGGCTCTTGCAGACAGATTGTAATTTTTTTAATGTTCGAAAGATCTGAAAAGAAGGAACTTGCTGTTAATGTTAACACAAAGCTGGCAGAGAACCAGCCCTCACAGAAAGCTTCTCCTATAAACAATTCCCAGTACTTCATGTGACTTTTTAAAAACTCTAAAAGTGGAAATAACACATTTGCTTTTGACTGGTGAAGCAGTGGATGACTTTCCTCAGCAGTATCTGGGGGACAGCACAAACTGCTCCTGCAGGTCCCGCTGCAAACGCTGTCGTGTTGGCTGAGCCCCTTGCTCGGGCAGCCTGAACCAGGAGTGTGTGCTCAGGGGGGAAGGGGCAGTTCCTGCCTCCTGGAGGCTCCTAAATTAGCAGGGGTGGACTGGTGGGAGCTGCACGTGCCCTGGGAAGTTATTTGACTTGTGTCCCTGTTTTAGATCCCTGGAAATTCAGCCCTTGTGTTCAGGATACAGAACAGTTTGGAAAGCTGGGTTTACATCACGTAAAGGAACGTGAATTACTGGGATAATTGTTCTTGTGTTGTGTCATTTCTCTGGGAATACTGATCAAATATTCTTGCACTGGGGCAGATGTGTGTAATAATGATGCTGTGGAACTCCCCCCTTTCCCAGCATTAACGTGAAGTAATTTTAGAAGTCAGTTTTTTCATGAGAAGATTGAATGTGCAGAATGTGTTTTTTCTTTTCCTTACCATCCTGGGCACAGATGATTTTTTTTATGCCCTTTATATTGCTAAATAAAGTACAGAATTGCAGTAGGATGTGGTAGTGAGTTACCAATTATTTTAAAGGCAGCACATACATTTGTTTGCACATCATATGCTTGTGATCAGGGATGCCCCTTGGATACTGCACAGGCAGGAGCGAGGTGATATCTAGGAAGAAATGTATTTTTCATATTGATCAGGAACCTTCCTGCCCCGTGTCTGTGCCAGGCCATCACTGTGTGGCTATTGTGGTCCTGTGAAGGAAGGAGCAGCCCTGGCAGAGGGTGGGTAACATCTCCATGCAGACACTGTGAGCTCTCACAGGTACCTGTGCTCACAACGAGCCTGTGGTTGGCCTGGGAATGGATGCAGGAAAACAATGAGGAATTCCACCTCGGAGTCACCCTGTGGGATGTCTCACTCCTGCCTTGCTCCACAAACCCAGTGCCTCCTCCTTTGTCTCTGTGTTTCAGACTGCAGGGCTCTCTGGGCCTTCCAAACTCCATCTGTACATACTCAGAAAAAGGAGTTGTTCTTGGAGAAGCCAATTTTCATCCATTTTAGTAACTTGTGAAAAAATCTGTTTAGTACTAAATCCAGTCTGGCTGCTGAATAGCCAGAGATTCTGGAACACAGACACGCTTTGGCAAAGTACAGTTATTCCAAGTGCCCTATCAAATAAATGAAATAAATAAACCAAACTGTTTGCTCTGCTCTTAGGGATAAATTGAATACAGATAGAACTGTATCCTGCAGTAACTCTGCTTGTTCCATCAGAAAATAACATCAAACCCCACAGTGGCTCTTGGATCTGGCTGCTGGCAAGTGCTGCAGAATTTCTGTGCCCTGGGCAAAGGAGGGGTGATGTTTGGCACATGAGCTGGACAGTTCCTGGGTCACCTCTCTGCCTGTTTCTGATGCTCAAGGCTCACTGTCTTTGTCCCTTCCTTCACATGTAGATATAAAATTCTGTGTTTTATTTGTTAGAATAGCATCCTAGTAGCAACAGCAATTTTTTTTCTCATGATATAGCAGTTTTGTATTTTTAAAAATATATTATCTTTTCCATATCAAAATAATTTTATAAACTAGAACTACAAACTACTGCCATTATTCAGTATTCCTTTTTTTTTTTTTATGCTGAAATTTCAGCAAATAGGACTTTGAAAGTGTTCTGAGTAAATCCACGTGTTCCAGTGTCAGGATAAGGGGTTAATTCCCCAACCTTTCATTCCAGCTGAGGCAGGTGGGCCCTGTACCTGTGCAGAGCCCACGGGGGTGACTCCAGGCTTGTCTGGGCTCAGGCTCTGCCCAGCAGCTCCCACTGTAGGACTGTCCTCGTGGTGTAAATGTTGGTGGCAGCCTAAGCTTGCACAGGGAGAGCTGTGCTGTGAAGGGGAGAAGGGATTTGGGTACAGGAAAAAATCATGTTCTACCTTCAGTGTTGTTTCTGTGGGTTTTGCTGTCCCAGTGTTGGAATGGGGCCTCTGGAAGAAGCAAAAATGTCAATGATTTTAAAGAAAATAACCCCTCTCAGCTCAGTGGGTTTTCCCAACCTGTTTTGTACCCTAAAGTTAGTTTGCAGTTTCCCGTGTTCCACGGGGGCTCTGTGGAAGGAGCAGTTGTTTTAATGGAAAATGACAAATTTTTCTTATGATTAAAATATCAAGCATATCCATTGACTGTTAAATCTAATTTGCTGTGACTGAAATGTTCTCCAGTGAGATAAGATAATCTCCTGTTATAGGTCAGAGGGCTCCAACTGATTTATGGGGGAAAACCTTGGTAGAAAATACAGAGCTGTGTTTTGTGCTCTTATTTTTCAGCTTTTCTATCATCACCTAGTTAGTCATTCTTTATAAGATTTCCATTTAGCAATCCATAAAGTGACTTCAAAGAAGGCTTAAAGTTTATAAGCTGTTGGATAAGCAAGGCTGGAGCTATCACATGAATAATGGAACATGCTTACAGAACTAATTGAATTCATATTAGAGGAAGATAAGTACTTAGCAGTGATAAATAATGAGATAGGAAAATGAACCTCTATCAAAAGAACACACCCCTCTCATAATGTTGGTTTCTCTCTCTGTACTGTAGGTTATTTTAGTCTTCAAATTCTATTAAATTGACCTTTGTGTTGGCAGTGGTGTCAAACCTGGCTGCAGCCCGTTACGTTTGTCAGAGTAAACGATGGTTTCAGCAACTGTTTCTGTAGGAAGGTTATTAGTGGGATGGTGCTGATGGAGGAGGAATGCCCTTGACCCCGGGGACTCCCTGCTGGAATTTGGGCACATGTGGTTTTGATTGACTGTGGGGATGGTTGTGTTGGGCTGGGAGATGGGGAGCTCTGGCAGCCTCTGTGCCAGGATCAGCCATCCCTCTTCCTGCCCCGTGTGGGCCACAAACCCAGCATTTACAGTTAAGGATTAGAAAAGCATTGCTTACCCTTTTTTTGTTAGTACTCCAGTCATTCAAGGGCTTTTTCTGGGTCTCCAGAACTGCAACTCTTCCAAGGTTGTCCAGCATGAATGTGTGTGTGAAACTCCCATTGCAGCTCAGAATGGTTTCCTGACCTTTTTCCTAAGCAAAGAGGACAGCTCTGTATGTCATAAAAGCTATATGAGTAGGGTTTTATTTTAACCTGGTGTCAGTAAAGATGTTCCTGTCAGGAAAGACAGGTTCCCTAAAATCCCTGCAGTGTTCCACGTGGTGGGACAGGACAGGGTGGCTGCTCTCACCTGGTGTTGATTCTCTCTCCCTTGTGCAGCCACGTGAGTGGAAAGCTGGGCCCTCTGAACCCCAAACACTCATTTGGGAAGGGCTTTTTGGCACGTTTCTCTGCTCTGGCTCAGGGAGGTGTGAGGATGCTCTGTTTGGGATCCAGTCAGAGCCCAATTAGTGTGTGTGAGGCTGAGCTAAGGAGCCCTGAGCACGAGTTCTGTCAGTCTGGGCTCAGCCCTGGCCCTGCCACGGGGTCCCCCCCTCAGAACACACCCTGAGAATTCACTGACCACTGGGATCTGCCACTGGTGGTGTTAATTGTTAATTATATTTTTTGATTGGGGTGAGAAGTAGCAATTAGCTTTTTCCACCTTTTATTCTTAGTAAATCAATGCCTTTCTACCTGTGAGTGAAGAAGTGCAGCTTTTCCACAGGGTTTAAATGAAGGGGTTGTAGATACACTTAAATCCAGGCCTTAAAACCCCAAATGCAGTTTAGTCACTCACAAATACTACCAATATCACTGTGCATGGTTTCAGGAGTACTGATAAAAATGCATTTTAAAATATGGCAGATTATTTATGGAGTTCTCCTTTATCCAGTTATTGGACAAGTGGAAATAACTGTGTTTGAATGAGAGCTGCAGTGGGGGGTGTTGGAGGGGCAGTGCTGGGGAAGGCCAAGCCCTGCACTCCGGGCAGAAGGAGGGTTCTCTCTGTCCAGCCCTGGTGCTGTTTGTCACTCAGTTGGCAGCAGCTGCTGGTGATAAGGATCTGGGAATCACCTGTGCAGGCTCAGGGTGCCCGGGCGGAAGGTGGGAGATGGGCAGGGGGGTGGGAGCCCACCTGCTGTGCCCGGATCAAAGGGCCCCGGGGTCAGGGGGCACATCCCCTTACCCAGAGCTGTCTGCTGAATAGCCATTTCAGGTTGTAAATCTGAGCAGGGTTTCATTAAGTCCTTCTGGCTGCTGTTGGGGCATGAAATAATAAAATTTTATATCCGCTGCCTTTCCTGCTTCTGGCAGCCAGATTGACACTCTGTTGTCTGCAGTGTTGGGGTGTTTTCCTTAGGAAAAGAAATGGAAACTATTAACTGAGGACAGACAAGTCATTAAGCAAATGGATTTTAGGCTTCTTGTGAATCGTGCTTTTACAATAATTTCAAATCTAATGCACAAGTAAGCTAGAATGTTAGTTTTTTGTTAACAGCGTTGCCTTTCCAAAAGAACTGGTGGAAGGTGTGTTACCTTTTTACTGTTACAACATTCTTTAATATGTTGATCACTTTTGTATCTGGTTATGAAGCCTCATGATCAGCTTGGTTTGTGTTTTGGCACCAATTTGGCCATGAAGTGACACAAACCTGGTTTTTGAGGGGAGGAGGGTAGTGGTGCTGTTTGGTTGTTGTGAGTTTTTTGGTTTTGTGTTTTGGGGTTTTTTTTAATTGAACTATTCAATAAAATTGTTCACCTGAAAGAAGTTTAACTGGGGATTTTTTATGGTAGAAAATGCAAAACCCACCAACTGTAGCCAGTGGTGATAAAATAACATTTAGTGCGAACTGGTGTGTTGGTGTTATTGATGAACATTGCTGGTAGCATGTGATGGGGATGAGACAGAGGAGCACCCCTTGATACTTCTATTAGAATATAGTTTCTCTGGTTTTGTGAACTTTCACATAAAACACTTAAATGACTTCAAGTGTTTGGCTGCCTGGGAGCGGGACAGGCGCCCTGACTGCGCTTATTTACGGACCTGGTGTTTAAGGCCCCCTGGAGTTTGTTTGAAAAGTTAAGAGATTTTCACAGTAAAGGTGCCATTTCTGAAATTTAAAGTGCTCTTTTCACCAGGAGATAAGTTCTCTCTGATTAAGTCAGTAATTCTTACTAAGCCATGTTTATAGAGGCCATAAACAATGGGTTCAGCGTGCTTGTTAAACCAGCTTTCCATACCTCTCCACTCTTTTAAAAAGAGACATTTAAAATAAAAGGCAGGTGTAGATGTTAGTTTGATTTAGATGGATTTTAGATGATTAATTATGGCTACAAGTAATTGGGCAGGGATGGTTAAGAGAGGTTTGCAGGAGTGAGATGTGATGCACGTTTTCACTGAGTCTCTCCTTTTGGCTCCGCACACCCCTGGTCTGTAGGAAACTCTGATGGTCACGTTTCCTCTTGGTCTTTGCTTTTCCACGTTTTTTTCAGCAAAATATAAACATGCTGGACACAGTCCAGTCTGTTGAACAGGTATCACTTTACTTGTAAAATTTTGTTTAGCTCTCCAGGAAGCTGTGGAATATGGATGGGGGCCGTGTGTGGCTTGTGGCTGTCCCTTCAAATTTCCAGAAAATTGTGACAACACACAAACTGTACTTGTGAAAAATGATCTACATGTTGCTGTGATTCATGGAGTCCAGTGGGATTTAATGTGAGAAATGCAGCTGAATGATGGGAATTTTTACTCAGATTCCAACCTGAGAGTACATACTGTTATTTCCCTGTCAGTTGGGCTGATGGGTGCCACGTTTAGCGAAAGGAGCGTGTGATTATTTGACAAAAGCCCTTATAACTGTCTGATAATACTTTTATCAAAGATGATAGTAAAAGGAGAGATGGTAAAACCAGCTAAGGATTAAGGTGAACTGGTCAGTCTGCGTTTCTCTAGGATGAGCCACAATTGTACCCTCAAAAAATTGCTTGTTTTCAAATGCATTGCGAGACAGATGCTATTAATCAGGTTAGTCTCTGGTGTTTTATTAAATCTGAGGGTTTGTCTCGAGGGAAATCCACTGCCTTGGTACAAATATTGAGGAGTTTTAAAGCAAGGCTGAGCTCTCTGTGGTGCAGAGGTGCAGCAGAGCAGAGTTTAGGATCAGCCCTGTTTCAGTACAGTTATTCTGGGTCCTGTGGGGGATGATCCAACCAGCAGCATTTCCAGTCCCTGCAGCATGAGCTGCATCCCCCTGAGCTGTGCTCCCTGGCTGATCCATGTGTCTCAAGCCTGTTCTGTGCTCAGAAAGCCCCAAATTCAGCTGAAGGGAAGGTGCAGATTCGTCCCCAGAGTTACAAACCCCCCCTGGCACGTTCACCACGCGTGTGCTGCTTCTTGGGCAGGAATCAGGAGGAGGTTTGAATTCCTCCTGTCTTGTCCTGCCAGCACTCGAGTTTGACAAGCTTCTGGCTTTGGTTAAGTACTTTGCAAGGCCTTTTTGTTGGAGGTTTTTAGACTCCTCTGAGTATAAGTGAGATTTTTAATTTTCTGAAACAGGAAGGAGCAAATCAGTTTGTCTGGTGCTTCCGGACTCCTAGAAGGAGCAAGGCTCCTGGATTGCTTTAGAGTTTATCAGATGCAGCCAACGGAGTGACCTTTGGTTCCTGAAAGGCAAAGTGCCTGGTTTGTCCTGCAGTACTGGTGCCTTTTATATGGAAAGCATTAAATGTAATATTCTTCTGCTTAAGCTGAAGAAATGTCTCATGAAGACCTAAACTTAAATGTCTACAAAGTGGTTTTTATGGTGGTTGTTTTTTTTTTAGCCCTAAGTACACAGCAGTTTGCTTTATAGACAGAGGACTGAGCCTTGAAAACTGAGGGTAATTATTTAGCTGCCTAAGGCTCAACTTTGCCATTGTTTTAGGACTTTAGTTCCTTTCTTTTAAGGGAAACAATTCCCCCCACCCCACAAAACCTTAATTAAAAATTGAGTATGTTTTTGTTCACTTTCCTCCCCAGTAACTTGCATTTGGTTGTGTGTGCAGGTATATAGGTACTTAAATGTTTATTTACAGTGTCACTGGGAAATTGCCTCAATTACCATATTCTATAATTCCACTTTGTCTGATTTTGAATTTTCAAAGCTTTATTTGAAGAGACCTTAAACGTGTGGGCTCAGTCAGTCAAAAAAAAAAGATTCAATTCTCCTGTTAGTACAAGAAGTGTTAAGCATTTAAATGCTGCTCTGTTTGGTATCAGTGATTCATTTGCTGTTGTTTAAGCAGGGAAATCAAGTCTGACAGTGTTTAAATTTGCTTAGATCACCGATACCTTTAGACACTTAGAGGTATTAATGATCCTTCTTTTGAGAAGTAGGTTCTGCTTTTCTCTTCTGTGTCCATGGACTGTTACAGATGATGTTAACCCTCAAACTAGATTAGAGACTTTTCTTTCCCTCAATTCATGGGAACAGGAGAAAAAGTTCAGACTTGCTGACCAGGATATGGTGGAATTAATTAACCTCTGGTGGTATCCATTTTACTTAAATGTAGTTGTAAACTTGTCTGTATTGGAGTTCCAAAATTCAGCCTGGAATTTGGAAACCACTTCCCATCCCTAACTTACTACAACTCTTAACTCCTAGAAAAGACATTCTTTATTGTTATTTAAATGAATTTCTAAATATGAAAAGCTGTACTTGAAATCCTGACTCAGCTGGAGACTGCTAAATGTGCAAACAGGACACCAGAGTTAAGACAAACATTAGTAGAGGTGCTTGAAATAAATCTTTGCTTGAATAACCCCAAGCTCTCTGGTTTGAAGCATTTCAGTGTACATGGTGTTAAGAACTCCCCTCTGCCAACTGAAGGTTAATTTTTCAGCATTGTCAAATGAGTAAAACAAATTATGGCAAACTCAGGAATGTTGGTTGTTTTTAAAATACTTGAAGTGCTGTGATGTTCTGAATGCCATGATGTTCTGCATCAAATTTAACCAGCTCCTCACACTGACATTGTCCTTCCCTTTCCCTGGCTCTGTTCCCATGCAGAAGGTCCGAAGCATGGCCCTGGAGGATGTGGTGATTCTGAACGTGGACACCAACACCCTGGAAACGCCTTTCGATGACCTGCAGAGCCTCCCCAATGACGTGGTACGTGTGGAGAGATGGAGCCAAACTGCTGCTCCTCAGTTCTTCCCTCAGGTGTTCAGGAATGTCTGAACATTTGCAGACATGCTTTGAAGCCTCCTAATGAAAATTAGCCAGTTCTCACGGGAGCTAGAAATCCCATTATTGTTAGATAACTTTTGTTTCCAAATGGAATTGGGTGGGCTTGTTCCTGTGACTGCTTCCAGGTGAGCTTTGAAGAACTTCTTGCATTTCATGCCCTGTGATATGGTGTGAAATGGATTCCTACATCTTCACTTCACGCACTGCTAGAATTCAGAATTTAATTTCTTTCTCATCTGCACTTTTTCTTGGTAAATTATTTGCTTTCTTTAATAACTTGATAGAAGTGTTGCATAAATACTTGATCTTTCCCTTTAATGGGACATTTCCCTTTGATGGGACACGAAGCCATCCCACTTGCTGCTGGAATCATCTCCACTAAAGAAGCTGAGGGGGAAGAGCAGAGAAGTGTGTGAGAGTGTAAGAAGCTGTTTTTAGGGCAGAGGGTGAATGTTTAGGAGAACATGGCAGGGAAAATCTGGATTTCTTTTGCTCCATGGAAATATTGTGCTGACAGGGAGATCTGAACCTTTCTACGTGCAGTTAGGAAAGAAAATTGGTGTTCAGGGAGCTCAGTCTAAACTGGTGTGTCTGAGGAGTAGCTCCAGGGATGGTGACTGCCCAGTGCCTCCTGCAGTGACCCCCCAGCATTCCCCTGGGATCCACAGTGGGATCCATCCTGCAGGAACAGGGAGCTCAGGAGGAAGGCAAAGGGCCATCTTGATTGGGAGCAATTTGGCTTTAACCAAGCATTCAGTCTATAAAAGTTGCTTCCATGAATTTTTCTGGCTTTATATAGTTTTTCGTTTTGATTTCACTCCCAGCATCCAAATCTGCCAGCTGGTCACCGCTCGTGCCATTATCCACAACCCGGGAATGACAGACCTGTAAATTTCATGGAATTATGTAAGAAATGTCTGGATACAGTGAGCACGGGGCCTCAAACATGTATATGATTTGTCAACAATCAAGTATTATATTAGATTTTATGAGACTTCATTAAAGGAGCTGTTGTGGGTGCACTGTAGAACATCAGAAGAGACTCCTGCAATAAACACAGAACTTCAAGCTTTGGAATGTAATAAATTTTAAGAGACTTCCTTCCTTTCATTATTTACTTTTACTTCACTTTTATAACAGTAGAGAGTTGTGTTTTATTAGTTCAAATTTCTTGATTCAGTTTTCCACAGGTCTATTTAAAAGCTCCATTTTATCTGGGAGGATGTTTAGAGCAGAGCAGAGGAAGTGCTGCCAGCAAATTCAATTAACTGGCAGGGCTCACCAGTAGCGTACGTGGGGTAGTTTTTTTCACAAGTGCCATATAAATACAGCTGGGATTAATATTTTTCACAACAAAGCTTTAACTCGAGTCGTGGTGCGCTGTGTAATTAATGTTTGGGGTGAGGGTTTCTGTCGGCCCGGGCTCTCTGCATTGTTTCAGGTACCTGGATGGGGCAGTTTTCCCCTCCAGGTCTCTCCCTTCACACTGTTCCAGAGTTGGCTTTGACCACTAGAGAGCAGCTGCTCTGCTGTGCAAGAATTGAATTTCTGTCAGTTCTTTCATGCATCATGTGTTTGGAACTGTAAGTGGATCAAGTTGTTCATCTCAGCAGGGAGACTCTAAAGCCAATCCATTATACTTTTTTTTTCCTTTCTTTTTTTTTTTTTCCTTTCCTTTTTGCTTCCCTGGGAGGAAGGGGAGATTTTGGGAGTGTTTCCCCTCTGGTCTTGGTCTAAGTAGATGCATTTATGACCTGAGAAACTAAAAATGTCTTCAGGAGTTTCCTGATCATAAATGCTTGTTATGTCAAACTACTATGTCAACTTTGCTACTTAATGTGAGCAGTGAGCAATTCATGCACTACTGAATAGACAAAATTTACTTTGCTAAATTAAATCTATCTATATTCAGCAGTGAGGAAAAACATCTTCTGTGTGATGCATTCACCATCAGGTAATTAATCCAGTGGAAAATTTCTAAAGCCGTTTCCCCCCCTCCTTGATCAGCTTTTTAAATCAAGTGAATGAAGTCCAATGGTTCTTGTAGAGCTTCAGGTAGTGTGCTGTGCTTGAGTTTCATGACAGTGATGTTGCTACCTAAACTGTTGGTTCTTGAGAATCTAGAATGAGCTATTCTTTAAATCCTAGGATCCAAGCAAACATAGGCTACCCAAGAGTCTTTCCAGTTAGCATTTGTGTCAGAGGAGCTGCAGGGGCAGTTCCAGCAGAGTCAGATAAAGTTTCTTTGCCCCACTTGCCCCAGCAGTACCTGTTGGCAAATCAAGGAAAATCAAGGTGTGTACTACTGTGTTACTGACTCACTGTCTGAAATGTGAAAAACTGTCCCTCCTTCACCTTCTGCTTCTGATGTGTTGCTGAAAATCTGGCAGCATGAGAGCACCCCGGGAAGCAACTTTCCTTTTAAAATAGTCATTATTAAAAAAAAGAGATTTATTAAGGACTGTGATTACAATAAGTGCATCTGCTGCTGACAAGTCTCCTACACCACCGTCTGTGTTGCAACGAATAGCAAAGAGGGGGTAGTAATTTATTTCTTTTTTATGCAACCTTTATGGTTTTTTCATGTATTTCCAAGTAAGTGTCATCTTCTAGTCGTGGTTGTAGCCAGAGCTCCACGTTCCAAGGGCTGAAGGCCAGGCTGGCTCTGTTGGTGTGCAGTTGTTCTGTGGGGCCCTGGGGCAGGGCAGGGTGTGGGGACACTGCAGGGGCCTGGGGACATCAGTGCTGTGGCCATGCAGCTCCTGTCCAGTCCCTCACCACCCACCACAGGCTGCTGTTCCTGGCTCTCACTCAGGGAAATCAGTGTCCTGCTTCCAGGACAGCCAGAAGTACCAAACCACAGCCCTGTAGCCAAACCATCTTCCTAAAGGTGAATCCGTTTTTATTTCTTACACTGCATTTGCAGTAGAAGGTTTCTTGCTTTATTCATGTTGACAACTGAAAAGCCCTGGACCTAATTAAAAGAATTTCCACTAGCACCTTTACTGAACCATTTCATTCTGCTGCATTGCACAGATTGCATTCTGAAACATGGTGAGAGTTGAAATCGGACCTTTAAACCTCAACTGCCAGAAGTATAAAAATCTTCTTTAAAAACATTCTCGGGGTAGACTGCATGTATATGTGTCTGTTTGGCTAGAAATAATCCTCATTTTCAGTGGTCACAGTCTTTTAGGTTTTTTTGAGTATGACTGCCTCTTTTGGCAGGAAACAACCCTAATTCTGCTCAAATCATCTTCTTTGAGTTATGTACTAATTTATTCCATAGAAAGTATGAGGGGTTTTTTTTTGTTGCTTTTTAGTCTCTTTAAACTTGCTGTTAACATTTTTTTTTTGTTAAAAACTATGGCATACCTATTGCAGTAATCCTGCATATGTATAAAACAGACATGTTCAAGGAATTATCAAAATACCTGTCAATATTGTGCTTCTGTACCAACCAGGGGAGCTGAAGCACAGAAAGGCTGTGACCAGCCCTCTGAACTTCTGGTTTGTTTAAAATGAAGCCTTTTCCTTCTATATAGATGGCAAGTTCTGTATCTTCACATTAATGTTTAAAGAAAACCCTTTATAACAACGTTTGAGATGGATTTAAAAGTTACTCAGAGCTCTGGACATTTTATTGCACTTTTAAGAACTACCTTTAAATGGTTTTGCATAAGTTAATATAGGAAATAAATGGATATTTCATCCCTAAAAGTTCAGACCCGTTTGAACATGAAGTGTGCTGTTCAGGTTTGAAAATATGGTGAAGCTTGTACATGTAGAGAATTACAGAGCTTGAGGGACATTATCTCGGTGAATAGGAGTGAGCTTATTTTATGGATATGAGACTAAATCTGGTATCACGTGTTGTGTTAATGTGGGTTTGTGGGCTCACTAATGCACGGATCATTGGCATAAGCCACAGCACTCCGATTTATAAACAGTGCTGGACACGCTCTTGGTTATTTCTGTTATACTAAATAACTGTAATGAAATGCCTCCTACAGCAGAATCTGCGGAATATTTAAAAGGAAATGTCTTTGCAACTGTTTTGGTAAACACAAGTGCAAAGATAACATGTAGTTGTGAGAGGGAAACAAGCAGTGCCCAGCATGGATTCAGTATTTCACACCTTGGAGCCAGCTGAGGGGGCAGCTCTGCCCTCCCCGGGTCCGGACACGCAGGAGCAGCTGAGGGAGGGACGGGGCTGAGGCCTCCTGGGAGGGGCTGTGGGGCCATGAGGGACTCGGAGGGGGCTGTGAGGGACCATGAGGTGCTGTGAGGGGTCATGAGGGGTTATGACAGGCTGTGAGGGGCCATGAAGGGCTCTGAAGGGGCCGTGAGGGGCTCTGAGAAGCCATGAGGGGTTATGACAGGCTCTGAGGGGCCGGGAGGGGCCCTGAGGGGCTCTGAGAAGCCAAGAAGGGCTCTGAGGGGCCCTGAGGGGCTCTGAGGGGCCATGATGGGCTCTGAGTGGCTCTGAGAAGCCGTGA